GGGCCCAAACCATAGTAAAACCAATGATTTTGGCTTCCTCGCCGAGCCGTTTTGGCATTCTCGCCGAGGCCTCTTGGAGCATCTTGGGTGCCTCTGGGGGGTCTCTTGGGGCCTCTTGGGGGTCTCTTGGGGGCCTCCTGGGGGCCTCCTGGGGGCCTCCTGGGGGCCTCTTGGGGGCCTCTTGGGGCCATCGTGGGGCCATCTTGGGACCTCTTGGGGCCTCCTGGGCGCTTCTTGGGGCTATCTTGGAGGAGATCGATCAAACAAGAGGGGAGCGTCAATTAGGGTCCCCCCCCAAGAGGCCAAAATGGGGCCAACACCGTAGTAAAATCAATGATTTTGGCTTCCTCGCCGAGGCCGTTTTGGACGCCCTGACGACTCGCGACCCCCTCCCTCCAGGTCCATGGGGAGGGGGTCGGGGGAGGGGTAAACCCCTCCCCGACGGGGAAGAAGGAGGGGTGGAAGAGGAAACTCTGTCTAAACCACCGACGCCCCGAGGGCTGGTGGGATTTCGCGCGCTTTTTTTGGGGGGCCCAGGAAGGATGATTACCAAAAATCCGCGTGAAGTTCACTTCGTTTCTCGCTCGCCGCTCCGGGGCTTCACACTGCCAGGAATCCGCGCAAAAGTCCGCCGGAGCACGCCTGCAAGGTCGGTGCAGTGACAAGGGGGGCGGCCGCGCGCCGCGCCCGGGCCGCGGCCCCAGGACCGCAGGCCTGGAGGTTGACACCGCCACCAGTATCGACGGTGTGCTTCCACCGAGGGATGGCGATTCCGATCTCGGTGGTGGTGGTGGTGATATTCGGGCTTTCTGGGTGGCCGAAAGATTAACACCAACACCAAAATCTGGGATCGTCTTCCCCAGGTGGAGGCACCCCGCCGTGTTGGTGTAGGTGCCCGTTTCCAAGCCTCCAATCGGACGTGCCGTGCGGCCCGGACTACTCTCCCCGGGCCCCCCTTCGGCTCCTCCGGGGGGGTGGGTGGGAGGGCGGGGCGGTGTTGGCCCCGCGCCGTCCCAGCTGGGGCTGAGTCTCCTCCTCCTCCTCCTCCTCCTCCTCCTCCTCCTCCTCCTCCGGGCGTTTCCTTCTACAGGAGGAACAAGTTTGGGGACGATTTGTTGATTCTTTTGGCATAGTTTTGTGCACGTATTATGGGCTTTGCTTTATGTCTCTTCTAAAATCCGCCTGTAGGAGGACATGCCAGACCTAACCTGGGGCCAGAGCAGGCGGTTCGCGTGTCCGATCCCCAGGGGCTTCTCGGCAACTCCTGGCTCCTTCGGCGGCCTCCCAAGCTCGACGGCGAGCGGGGGGGGGGCGCGAGAAGGTGGAGGCCTTCCCAGAGGGCGGCAGGGCTTCTCAGAAGCCCTCGCGCCTTCCGAGTTTTTTGTTTTTTGTTTTTTGCGCTTCCGGGGGAGGGTCAGAAGACTTCTCAGAAGGGCGGGGGGCTTCCGATCCTTCTGAGAGGCCCCGCCCCTTCTCGCTTCCCCCCCAGCCTCGCCGCTGGGTTTCTTGGCAGCTCGTGGTTCCCTCGGCGGCCTCCAAGCGGTGTGGTGACCGCACCTCGTGGTGAGGCAGTGGGGCTTCGGGGTCGCCGCACGGCTTCGGGGGACTCGGGCCGTGCTCGTCGAGGGCGCCTCTCTCCGGCGGCCGGGGCCTCCGAGAGTCCCCAGGACCGTGCGGTGATCAACCCCGCGCGGTGAGGACTCCTGGGATCTCGAGGTCACCACACTAGGGGAACAAAAAGTGCCATAAACATTACGCTACCGAAGAACCCCACATACTTGATTTAAATCTGATGTGCTTGCTTATGTCTTTAATCTCTGTGCGATCCTGCGTTCTGAACCCTCGTCGCGAATGTTTCCCTATGTGTCATCCAACGCCATATTGCTTGCCACGCTTTGCGAGCCCGCAGCGGATAGGGAGACCACCCCCAGCGCACCCCCTGTCGTGTCGAGGAAGTGCCACGCCTGCCACGCTTTCCGAGCCCGAAACGGATAAGGATACCATCCCCAGCGCACTCCCTGTGGTGTCGAGGAAGTGCCACGCCTGCCACGCTTTGCGAGCCCGCAACGGATAGGGAGACCAACCCCAGCGCCCCCCCACCTGTGGTGTCGAGGAAGTGCCACGCCTGCCACGCTTTGCGAGCCCGCAACGGATAAAGATACCACCCACAGCGCACCCCCTGTGGTGTCGATGAAGTTCAACGCCTGCCACGTTTTGCGAGCCCGTCAAGGATAGGGAGACCAACTACAGCGCATCCCCTGTGGTGTCGGGGAAGTGCCACGCCTGCCACGCTTTGCGAGCTCGCAGCGGATAAGGAGACCATCCCCAGCGCACCCCCTGTGGTGTCGAGGAGATACCACGCCTGCCACGCTTTGCGAGCCCGTCACGGATAAAGATACCACCCACAGCTCCCCTCCTGTGGTGTCGAGGAAGTGCCACGCCTGCCACGCTTTGCGAGCCCGAAACGGATAGCGTCCCCACCCACAGCTCCCCCCCCTGTGGTGTCGAGGAAGTGCCACGCCTGCCACGCTTTGCGAGCCCGAAACGGATAGCGTCCCCACCCACAGCTCCCCCCCTGTGGTGTCGAGGAAGTGCCACGCCTGCCACGCTTTGCGAGCCCGAAACGGATAGCGTCCCCACCCACAGCTCCCCCCCTGTGGTGTCGAGGAAGTGCCACGCCTGCCACGCTTTGCGAGCCCGAAACGGATAGCGTCCCCACCCACAGCTCCCCCCCTGTGGTGTCGAGGAAGTGCCACGCCTGCCACGCTTTGCGAGCCCGAAACGGATAGCGTCCCCACCCACAGCTCCCCCCCTGTGGTGTCGAGGAAATGCCATGCGTGCCACGCCTGTGTGCTGTGCTGTGCTGTGTTGTGTGCTGTGCTGTGCTGTGCTGTGCTGCGGTGAGCTGTGCTGTGCTGTGCTGTGCTGTGCTGAGCTGAGCTGAGCTGCGCTGTGCTGTGCTGAGCTGAGCTGTGCTGTGCTGTGCTGTGTGCTGTGCTGTGCTGTGCTGTGCTGCGGTGAGCTGTGCTGTGCTGCGCTGTGCTGCGCTGTGCTGTGTGCTGAGCTGAGCTGAGCTGTGCTAAGCTGTGCCGTGCTGAGCTGAGCTGAGCTGAGCTGTGCTGAGCAGTGATGTGCTGTGCTGTGCTGTGCTGTACGAAGAATGAGGTGTGTGTGTGTGTGTGAGTGTCGCGGGTGCGGCGCGGCAGGGAAGAAAACCAGAACCCCACGAAGCATGTGGGGAATAAAAACTCGGAGGTCCGCGCGGATTTCTCGGATCGGCGTTGGGGTCCCCTGGCGGCGCCTCCGGCGCCGCCCCTGGCGCGCTCCGCGCGCCAGGGAGGGGGGTCCAGCGCCGATCCGAGAAATCCGCGCGGACCTCCGAGTTTTTATGCTTACGTCACTTTTTGTTCCCCTACACTCGGGCCGGACGAAAGGGGGGGATTGGGAAAGGGGGGGGTACGAAATTTGCTGCATGCAGCTGGTTTCGGCCCCACCGAGGGGCCCATTCCTCGATACGTAAGCCGCCTCCGGCGCCGGGAGGCGCCGGGAAAATCAGACACGTGAGCTGATTCTCAACCCCCCCCTTTGCTATCCCCCCCTTTCGCCCGACCCGATACACACGGCGTGTCACCGCACCGCCTGCGGACCCCCGAGAGGTGTGGCAGGAGCACGGCGGGTGGCGTGCCCGATCCACGGGGGGCCTCTCGGGACTCACAGGTCACCGGTCGCCAGACGCCGCCTCCGCGCGCAGCACCGCGCAGCACCGCGCAGCACCGCGCTCCTCACTGGGCGGGGGTGAGCGGCGCTGCGCGATGTAGGTGTCCATGCCGCGCCCCAGAGGCCCCTAGAGGATCGGGCGCGCAGGACGGTGGCGGAGCAGTGCGCCGCACCGCCGCTGCACCGGCACTGCGGCGCGATCTGGCGCCCGAGCTTCTCCATCGCGTCGTCGCCGGCGCATCGCCGGTGCGGCGCGATCCTCCGACCCCGTTTGCTCGGACCCCATCTGTCACCACCCACCAAACCACTCCAACCCAACCCGAAGGCTCAGATTTACCCTCGATTTCTAGTGGGGGGGGGTCGGGAAACATCGAGAAAACACGCGTGGAACCCGTACCCCCCCCAACCCGAAATTCGGGTCTTAGGGTTGGTTGGGGTGGTCTGGCAGGTAGTCAGTCTGGGCGGCCTCCAGCGGCACTGGAAGGCTCACACGGTGGGCTCGAGCTTCTGCGCCTCCCGCTCTCGGCCTCCCAGGCTGGCTGCCGTGCTGCTCGCGCCAGGCTCCCCTCGCCCTCCCGCGAGGAGAGAGATGACATGAGAAGTGGGTGCGGGCGGGAGGTGTTGGCTCTCCATACTCTAGCTGTTCAGGAGGGGAAAAATTACACAGGCACAATTCATCGTCGATTCCCAAATGGAAAAATATGGGAAGTGGGGGGAAGACAAAAACCCAGAAAATATGGGGAGATATGGGGAATCCTGTTGTTTGTGTGTACTTATTGGTGTGTCCCAGGGCCCCTCTAGCTGAGGTAATCGACTCGGTCCTCGGTCCTCGTGAGCGTGTGGAGCGACTGCTCCGCGGTCGTGGTTCTCTCTTTCAGGTGCTCCAGGGAGGCAGCGCACGTGCAGGCGGAGGAGGGGGAGGAGGAGGAGGAGGAGGAGGAGGAGGAGGAGGAGGAGGAGGAGGAGGGGGAGGAGGAGGGGGAGGAGGAGGAGGAGGAGGAGGAGGAGGAGGAGGAGGAGGGGGAGGGAGGAGGGAGGGAGGGGGGAGGGAGGAGGAGGAGGAGGAGGAGGAGGAGGGAGGAGGAGGAGGAGGAGGAGGAGGAGGAGACGGAGGAGGAGGAGGAGGAAGAGGAGGAGGAAGAGGAGGAGGAGGAGGAGGAGGAGGAGGAGGTGGAGGAGGAGGAGGAGGATCGCCACGGCGCCGACAGAAACGCGTGTTCTCGCCTAGGGGGATGAGAGGATGATGAGGGGCGCAGGTCGGGTGGCCCGCTCCTCCACGTCAGGTGACCGTCCAGAGCGCTTGCGGCACCGCAACCGCCATCGGTGGCGTGCTGCTGTACTCACTCACGAAGTCCTACTATGCGAAGAAGGCGAAGGCTCCGGATACCGAGAAGGGGGGCTAGGAACAGGCGGGGGCGCCGTGCCGACTTGGTGGCGGGTACGCCATGCGAGCCCCGCCTCTGCGTCCTTGGGTGCAGCTCCCAATGGGGCCACGAAGCGTGTGAGGGGTGCTGAAGTACCGCATGTGGCCGCTGCCACTGGGGCCTGCGGCTGAACCCATTGCAGTGGCCACGAAACGTGTGAGGGGTGTGCAAGGAACGCGTGCGGGCCCTGCCGCTAAGGGCATCGGTTGAGCTCCCTGTGTGGCCACGAAGCGTGTGAGGGGCGTGGACGTACCGCCTGCGGGTCCTGCCACTGGGGCATTCGCTGGAGCTCCTCATGGAGCTGAGAGGCGTGTGCTCGGTGTGCAAATACCGCGTGCTGGCCCTGCCTATGTGGCAACGGCTTGTGGGTGTGCCGCAATGTGACTTTTGGAGAGGATGATGAAGATTACCAACTGACCGAGGGGCAGTGCTGGCCTTCTCGCCTGGGGTGAGTCCGGCGGGTCCGACCCCGCACCCCGCGGGGGCCATGCCAGCCTCTACCTTGTGGAGTTCTCATTTCTATAGCGTAATTATTGTTGATTCCTTCCCTGGTGCCTATTGTGTTTTTCATTAATGCTCTCGTGAAGTCTTGCTGCTCAGATCGGGCCACTCGCCCCCGACTTACAACAGCAACAACAACGGCTCCCGCCCGATATTTCCAAATCATTTATTTCAACATCGCGCTCTCGCGCGGGAGTTCGTCGGAATTTCCCAGGAATCGCTCTCTCGCGTTGTAGTTCCAAATTTTTTTGCGGCGCCGTGTCCCCCAGACTCACGAAACACCCTCTCGCTTTAGATTTCCTCACGATTTACTTGCGAATCGCTCTATCGCTCGCCATATCCTGGCGATTTCTGCGGGACGCACGCTTCAGCAACCTGCCTGCTCGACCTGTCCGCGTGGGCCCGCCTTCCCGACCCGCCCGTTAGGGCCTACCCGCCCGATCTGCCCGTTTGGTTCTGCCAGGTGTTTTCTGCTCCTCTAGCCCCCCTCCTGCTACTCTCTCTCGTTCTCCATGCTTCTCCCTCACTTTTTTTGGGGGAGCACCGAATACACGTGACAGGTAAAGAAGATATACACCCCAGGGGGTACCATCGAAGACGACGAGGGCGGGCATCGAGGGTTTAGGATACAAGTGTCGGACGGCACGCGGGCAGATAATAGCGAACAGTCTTAAACTGATTGTTGTAGTTATGATTGACATTTTGTCATTACTGTTTTTTGTTGAACTCTCCCCACTGAAGAACATTTATTGTTGTCCCCCTTCCGGGGCACATTGTGTTTTATAATTGACGTGCCCTTCCCAGGGCTCGCGCCCTGTTTTTTTTTTTATCAGGACAAGTCTTGGATCTCAGAATTGTGTCTTCGGCTTCTGGCTTACAATAACAGCAGCTTCCGCCTGATGCTGCCTCACAATTTATTGAAGAATCGCGCTCTCGCGCGGGACATCCACAGAATTTATGCATGAATCGTTCTCTCGCGTGAGACTTCCTTGCAGTTTATTTAAAGGCCGCAACCTCGGCACTCAGGAACCACGCTCTCGCTGTGGACTTCCGCGCGATTTATTTCAGAATCGCACTATCGCTCGAGACTTCCTCGCGATTCATGCAGGGCGCACGCTTCAGCAACACGCCTGCCCTTTCCTTCCATCCGTCCTCTTTTCTCCTACCTACGGGGCTTCACGAAATACACGTTGCAGGTAAGACAGATATACTCCCAATGGGTACGATCGAAGATGCCCAGGGCGGGTATCGCGGGTGTGATATGTACGTGTTGAATGGCACGCGAGCAGATAAGAGCGAACAGTTTTCAAATGGTTGTTGCTGTTGTGATTGTTGTTGTTGTTGTTGTTGTTGTTGTTGTTGTTGTTGTTGTTGTTGTTGTTGTTGTTGTTGTTGTTATTGCTGTTGTTGTTGTTGTTGTTGTTGTTGTTGTTGTTGTTGTTGTTGTTGTTGTTGTTGTTGTTGTTATGGTTGTTGTGGTCGTCGTTGTTGTGGTTGTTGTTGTTGGTGTTGTTATTGGTGTTTGTGTTGTTGCTGCTGTTGTTGTTACCGTTGTTGTAATTGCTGTCCTTGTTGTTCTTGTTGTTGTTGTTGTTGTCGTAGTCGTCGTAGTTGTGATTGAGCTCTCATTGCTGACGAATGTTCATTGTTGATCCCCCTCGGGTGACCATTGTGTTTGTTTTTTCAATTGAAGTGCTCCCTCTAGGGCTCACACTTTTTGTTTTAATATAAGAAACCAACATGGGAAGTCACTCGGCTGGACAACAACAGCTCCCAGAGTACAACAACAACAACAGCTCCCGCTTGAAACTTCCTTGCAATTTCGCCAGGACCCCCGCTCCCGCCTGAGACTTCCTCGCATTTTCTCCAAATAGGCTTGCCCTAAAGGAGTCGTAGGTCATCATAAGTAATTGGCCTTTCGCCCCCCTTTTTTCCAATGGCACCCCGCTTATTTCCGATGCCCCCCCTTTTCCCAATACCCCGCCATTATTTCCAATGGCACCCCAGCTTTCCAATGGCGAATCCTATGCATTCCTATGGATTCCTATGAGTCGTATGTATTCCTATGCATACATGTTAATGCCTATATGCCCAAACTTATTCCTATGGCTCTCCGTACTTGCACGACTGCTCGCTTCTTTTTGCAAGCTTCTTTTTGTTTGCCATTTCATGCTTGGCTTCCTCTCCTCCCGTCCTCTCCTCCTCGCTTTCTCCTTCTCTCGCTCTTGTCCTGTCCATCTATCTATTTGGAGCCAACGCTGGCTGATATTACTCAGGAATCGCGCTCTCGCTTGGGACTTCCTTACACTTTATTAAGGGACCGCTCTCTCGGCGCTCTGGAGTCGCGCTCAAGCTGGAGACGTTGCCTGCAATTTACTCCAGAATCGCGCTCTTGCGTTGGAATTCTCCGCAATTTACTCAAGCGCCCCGCTCCCGACATTCAGGCACCCAGGAGTCGCGCTCACGCTTTTAGGACACCCTCGCAGCTTACTTAGGAATCGGGATATCGCTGCCTTTCGTGGCCCCGTTGCAGCCCTTCGTGGCCCCCTCGCTGCCCTTCGTGGCCCCCTCGCTGCCCTTCGTGGCCCCCCCGCTGCCCTTAGTGGCCCCGTGCAGCCCTTCGTGGCCCCCTCGCTGCCCCTCGTGGCCTCGTTGCAGCCCTTCGTGGCCCCCTCGCTGTCCTTCGTGGCCCCATTGCAGCGTTTCGTGGCCCCCTCGCTCCCCTTCGTGGCCCCATATATGTGTGCCCTTCGTGGCCCCCACTTGTTCGCGCCCGTCGTGGCCCCATCTGCATGCGCTTCGTGGCCCCGCTGTCGCCCTTCGTGGCCCCCTCGCTGCCCTTCGTGGTCCCGTTGCCGCCCTCAGTGGCCCCGTCCTTGCCCTCTGCGGCCCACTATACGTATGCCCTTCGTGGCCCCCGCTCGTTCGCGCCCGTCGCGGCCCCATTTGCATGCCCTTCGTGGCCCGGCTGTCGCCCTTCGTGGCCCCCTCGTTGCCCTACGTGGCCCCGCAGTTATCGTCAATGGCCCCGTCCTTGCCCTCTGTGGCCCCGCATTATCTGCCCTTCGTGGTCCCAGCTTTTTCGCGCCCTTCGTGTCTTCATACGCATGCCATTCGTGGCCCCGCTGTCTCCCTTCGTGGCCCCCTTCCTTCCCTTCGTGGCCCCGCTGTCGCTCTCGTTCTTGCTCTCGCTCTCGTTTTCGCTCGTCGTCGTCGTCGTCGTGGTCGCCGTCGCCGCCGCCGCCGTCGTCGTCGTCGTCGTCGTCGTCGTGGTCGGTCCCCTGTCCGTCCCTCTTGGGGTCGGGTTGCTGTCGATCAGCGTTGCCGCTGTCCAGGCCGACGGTTCGCGGCCGCCCCGCCGCTTGCCGAGGCCCAGCCTGCAGGGAAGAAAGATATGCCCCCCCCAAGGGGTACGATCGAAGACGAAGAGGGCGGGCATCGAGGGTTTGGGACATACACGTTGAATGGCACTTCTTAGTTAAGAGCGAACAGTCTGAACATACTTGTTGTTGTTGCTGCTGTTGTCGTTGTGGTTATTCTTGTTGGCTGCTGCTTTTGTTCTGTTCTGGTGGTTATTGTTTCTGCTGCTGTTGCTGTTGCTGTTGTTGCTGTTGTTGCTGTTGCTGTGGTTGTTGTTATGATCATGGTTGTGGTTGCGGTTGCGATTGTTGTGGTTGTTGTGGTTGTTGCGATTGTTGTTGTTGTAGTTGTTGTTGTTGTTGTTGTTGTTGTTGTGGTTGTTGTGGTTGTTGTGGTTATGGTTGTGGTTGTTGCTGCTGCTGCTGCTGTTGTTGTTGTTGTTGTTGTTGATGATGTTGATGTTGTTGTTGTTGTTGTTGTTGTTGTTGTTGTTGTTGTTGTTGTTGTTGTTGTCGTTGAGGTTTTGGTTGAGTTATCAGTGTTACAAACTAAGTTTATTGTTGATCCTCCTCCGGTGACCATTGTGTTTTTTCAATTGAAGTGTTTCCCGCGGGGCTCGCACCTAGTTCTTTCAGGGCAAGTCGCTCGGCTCAAACTGCGCCCGTGGCCCCCCGATTACAACAACAATGGCTCCCGCTTGGTACTTCCTTACAATTTAGCCAAGACCCCCCTCTGCCGCCTGAGAGTTCCTCGCACTTTACTCAGGAATCGCGCTCTCGCCTGAGACGTCCTCGCAATTTATTAAGGGATCGCTCGCTCTCTCGGCGCTCTGGAGTCGCGCTCTCGCTGGAGACTTGCTTGCAATGTACTCCAGAATCGCGCTCTTGCGTTGGAGCTCCCCGCAATTTACTCAAGCGCCCCGCTCCCGACATTCAGGCACCCAGGAGTCGCGCTCACGCTTTTTGGACCCCCTCGCAGCTTACTTAGGAATCGGAATCTCGCTGCCTTTAGTGGCCCCGTTGCAGCCCTTCGTGGCCCCCTCGCTGACCTTCGTGGCCCCCTCGCTGCCCTTCGTGGCCCCCCCGCTGCCCTTCGTGGCCCCGTTGCAGCCCTTCGTGGCCCCGTTGCAGCCCTTCGTGGCCCCGTTTCAGCCCTTCGTGGCCCCCTCGCTGCCCTTCGTGGCCCCGTTGCAGCCGTTCGTGGCCCCCTCGCTGCCCTTCGTGGTCCCGTTGCAGCCCTTCGTGGCCCCCTCGCTGCCCTTCGTGGCCCCGTTGCAGCCGTTCGTGTCCCCCTCGCTGCCCTTCGTGGCCCCATAGATGTATGCCCTTCGTGGCCCCCGTTCGTTCGCGCCCGTCTTGGCCCCATATGCATGCCCTTCGTGGCCCCGGAACAGCCCTTCGTGGCCCCCTCGCTGCCCTTCGTGGCCCCGTTGCACCCCCTCAGTGGCCCCGTCCTTGCCCTCTGTGGCCCAGTATACGTATGCCCTTCGTGGCCCCCGCTCGTTCGCGCCCCGCCCGTCGTGGCCCCATATGCATGCCCTTCGTGGCCCCGCTGTCGTCCTTTGTGACCCCCTCGCTGTCCTACGTGGCTCTGGTGCTACCCTCAGTGGCCCCGTCGTTGCCCTCTGTGGCCCCGCATTGCCTGGGTGGCCCCCGCTCGTTCCCGCCCTTCGTGGCCCCATACGCATGCCATTCGTGGCCCCGCTGTCGCCCTTCGTGGCCCCCTTCCTGCCCTTCGTGACCCCGCTGTCGCTCTCTCGCTCTCGCTTTCGCTCTCGCTTTCTCTCGTCGCCGCCGCCGCCGCCGCCGCCGCCGCCGCCGCCGCCGCCGCCGCCGCCGTCGTCGTCGTCGTCGTCGT